CACACCTGATTCAAATGATCAGCTCATCATCAAGCTCTGCAGAAGCCTGATAACGATCCTGATCATTTGAATCAGAAGAGGGAAACATCTAAAACATGCAGGACTGTGGCCCTCGAGGACCAGGATTGCCCACCCCTGATGTAGTATCTAACTGTGTGGATGTTGGATCTTATTCTCTAAATAAAGACAAAGGTTACCAGTGACCTACCTACACCAAAGAAAAGAAGACAATCTAGGACAAATAATTGCCACCATTTAGAGCCGAGTGGTGTGGGTTCTGCTTCAGACTTGAAACGTCACATTCAACCTGTAAAGAAAACTACATCAACAAACTTCTGTATTGTTGCGTATTCACACATTCAGATGAAAGTAAGTAAATCATTCAGTAATGAGACGTCTGTTTGTAGTCTATAGTCACGTAGAACTTTCTGGCTTCGGTATTTCTGACACCTTCACACTTCTTTTCACAAGTGGGTGACATCAGTGAGGAAATGACTTCATGCTGGTCACTTTTTTAGCTGCTCTCGAGTGATTCATACTGATGCTGATGAAGGGAAGTGCACTTCCGTCAGCATTAGCGGTGCTTTCTGTTCCTTAAATTTCTGCAATCAGTTTATTAAGAAAAGAAAACTCAAACCACCGTATGAGGAGCCGAACCACTAAAGACATGGTATCTGAGATTCAGTAAAGAAAACAACAGAACATAAGGATGTTAGAAAATTAGAGATGTGAAACTTAACTAATAAACACAACTGAACTAAACTGAGCGCCAAAGCTGAAGTTGAGAAATCAGAGCAGTTACTGCAAATTGTACTGAGACGGAAAATCAGATAAACTTCCCTCCTATATAGCTGCATTTACACTGTATTTATTATTTTGGGACCAGTTTATTGCTTTATTAGCTGGCTGACTGTAGAAATATGACATGAAGGGAGAGAGAGCTGCAACAGGTCAACCCACAGAATACTATAAAAGTAAATATGAAATTATTCTAAATTGTATTGCCTCTAAATAAGTGCATTATTTCTAAGTTGAAGAGTGTTTCCTCCTATGATCAATTAAAAACAAATACTTTAGAAAGACCATATTGAAAATACAGATGCCAAAGTAGAATCTCAATGCAACAAAAGTGAATAAACTGAAGATCACTGACACATAAGTTAGAACCTCTGTGATCACAGAAACATGACCATAGTTGTAAAAGGATCTTTGAAAACCAGAACCTTCTCAGTTTCAGACCTGTGAACGGTGTCTATCTGTATGTCTGCATCATGGAAAAGAGCTTCCAGAGGAACGTGATCATGAAACTTCACAAAGATAGAAAACGATACAGGGAGATTACTGACTGACTAAATATCATCTACAAAGTCAGATGTCGGGCTGCAAGGTGGCCCAGTTGGTAGCACTGTTGCCTCGCAGCAAGAAGGTCACCGGTTTGTGTCCCGGTGGGGGCACTGGGATCTTTCGGTGTGGGGTTTGCATGTTCTCCCCGTGCAGCGTGGGTTCTCTCCAGGTTCTCTGGCTTCCTCCTACAGTCCAAAAACATGTTGAGGTTAATTGGTGATTCTAAATTGTCCGTAGGTGTGAATGTGAGTGTGCTTGGTTGTCTGTCTCTAAGTGTAGCCCTGTGATAGACTGTTCAGGGTGTCCCCTGTCCCCTGGGATAGGTTCCAGCCTCCTCGCGACCCGAGTGAGGATTAAGTGGTGCATAGATAATGGATGGATGGATGGAAGTCAGATGTCATAAAAACAGTGCTTGAAAAGTAGGAATTTTCAAACTTTCACTGAAACCAGTTCAAAGGGACAAACCGTAGTTACAAGTTGATAGAATCCACCAAAGTAAACCGTGTTCAACAAAGCATAAAGCTCAGGGAGATTTGTTAAACACTACTTTACTTCAGCTCAAACACACTTTTTACAGTGAAGGATGAATCTCCTCAAATATTAAATTACATCTACAAATGACAGGTTTTAAAATACTCTTTTTTGACTTTTACCATTTTATATATCCACATTTTAAATCAGCATCTGTGTAATATTAATACATACAATCTATCAGTATTTCTACTCATCTATGCAATAAACCATTGGTATGTGCCATGTTGTTATTTCCACATCCAGAGGAATTTGGACAATCTCAACTAGTTCTTCTGTATATATTTTTTACCTGTTTATATTTTTCTGCTGATATTTCTTAAATGTTCTCCTTAGCTGCTGTAAAAAAAAAAAACTATTACAGCCTTTTCACATCACATCATATCTCTTCTAGTCATACAGACAAAAGAAGAACATTGTTTCCATCCAGAATCATAACTAGCTCCTCTATTCTTGCAGACCCCTGGTGTGATCCGTCCCACGAGACTCTGGCGTTTGCCCGAGCGCTCCGACTCTACCGGCAGGACAAAGGCTGCTATGAATCCTGGGAAATGCTGCAGGGCACCGAGGAACAAGTCAGTAATCAGTCACACCTGCTTCAGCCTCCGGTCCGTCTGTGGATCCTCGTACACGTGCTCCATTAACCGTCTGTTTGCTCGGGCAGGTCCTGGCCTCCCAGGTGATGGAGGAAGTGTTGCCGTGGTTACAGAGTCAGCTTCAGTCCAGGGTGAAGGGCAAGAAGACTGAGAGGATACGACTGTGGCTGGCGGTGAGTTAAACGAATACATCCTGCAAAATGAGGGCCTTCAGGATTATTTTGGTGCTAATACTTTTTTTTTCTGCTTTTACACCTGTAAAAATGTAAATGCATGACTTTTATTTTGTACACTGTGCTACTGGTGCACAGGACTGGAGTATTTCTTCCACTTCTGCCACTGAGCCTGATATTTTTCAGGGGTTAATTGAGGCTAAAGCAGAGCTGAAAGGAGAAAAGTAATAAAGTTGTGCTCAACTAATCAACACAGCTGTAAACTTTTTATGTTTTTTGTTCCAATAGTTGAAAAATCATAAACCTATATTACCAACAACAGCTTGTTATGAAACCAAAAATTATTTAATACAGCTTTAGCTTAAGCATTTTTTAAAAAATAGTTTCCTTCCTCCAAGTTCTAATACTATCTTAGATTTCTGTCTTCTCAGAATTCTCTCACTTATCAGTATTTAGATGTTAATCTTAAGACACTCTTGTTTCCATCATGCGGCTGAAAGCTTTGCAAACACTTTTATCTTTTACCGTTGATTTACTGAATTTAGTACAAAAAGTTGTCGCGCATTTTCAACTATTATTGCTATGTATTCATTAGATGTTTAATTTCATCTTATTTTACTTCCAGCTGCTCATTTTAGTAGATTTCTTTGGTTATTTTAAAATGAAATGCTCTAATTAATGCCTTTATTGTGGTATTAACTTTGCCCTTTGATATTTTATCGCTATCTTCAGTTTCCCATTAATGTGCCGACATCGTTTATTCTTTTAATTGTGAATAAGGCCTTCATACTTCAATGTACTCTGAGTTTAGACACAGGCTGAATTAATGAAAATGGATGAATGTGTACAGACGGTGCAGGCGACCTACACGCTGGTTCTGGAGCAGCTGACTGCAAGTCTCGAGGTTCTGAGGGACGAGTGTTGCAAAACAGCATCAGCCAATCAGGCGCTGATCAGATCCAACCTGGACCAGATAATGTCCTCCCACTGCTTCCTGGAGCAGAAAGTCAGAGGTACAATGTGTTCAAAGTCTGAGCAAACACAGTGCAGCTAAACCAACATCTGAGGCCTCATCTGACAGGAGTTCTATCAATCCTCTGTTGCAGCGTGCATCAGTGAAGAAGCAGAGAAAGCGTGCAGCGAGTCCGTGGCGCCGTACATGTCGTCCATCCTTGAAGCACTCACAGAAAACATAAGTTCAGGGATCGTCGGGATGCGGAAGACTCTGCACAGTCAGATGGATTCAGCCTTTTCACACACAAACGGAGGGACAGAAGACACGAAGAAGGTAAAAGAGGTCTTTGAGTTGCCTCTGTGTCACCTTGTTTAGTTATTTGTTTTCAACTCACAGCTGTTTGTTGTGTCCTCCAGGCGTTGTCCAGCCTGAGCTCCATCAGTCTGGATCAGAGCTTCAGGCAGGTGGAGAATCTGACAGAGAAACTTGAAGGCTTAAAGCAGCGGTTTGGACTCAGCAGCGCTCAGAGGCTCATTCACTCTGCACATCTGGAGATGGAGCAGGTATCAAGTGCAACCTTTCAGTACAGTCATGGCTTTTCAAGGACTTTAAGCAGAAGCAGAAATGCTCACGTTACAGTTTTTGCCACATGTGATGTTTGTTGTACGTTGCAGCTGCTGGACAGTGCTGTCTACACCTTAGAGCAGTTCCTTCAGTCGTCAGCCAGACTGCAGCCTTCACAGGTTCCTGTCACGTTGGACAAAGCCAAAGAAAGAGTGCTCAAGGTAAAGAGGTTAAATCATAGAATGGGACTGTTGTGGTTAGAAATGGTTTTAAGTAGGGATGCACGACATATCGGCGACCACACTGGTATCGGTCAATATCAGTGTTTTTTCCCATATATCGGTATCAGTCTGATGTACAAATTTAGCCGATGTGAAAAACTGATGATTGTCTAACATCAGTGCCGTCGTCTCTGTATTTGATATTGCTGCTATTTCACAGATGCTTTTACTTAAATGGACTTGAACGTTAAATATGTTTAAATATGTTTTACTTTTGTTACGTAATGAAGAAGACTATGTGGTCTACTTTGGTTTGGGCTTCTTTTGAATAGTTTTCACATTCTCACAGTGATACTCATTTTTCAGAGGAAACAAAAAATGAATATTGACATCGGTAATTTTGGTTATCGGCGTTATCAGAAATCTTAATATCGGATATCGGTATCAGCCAGAAATTTTAATATCGTGCATCGCTTGTTTTAAGCACTGAAAAAAATCCTCCAAGTGTAATTTAAATGATGATGGAGGAATGAGAAAATGCAGCTGATGCACTGATATGAATATTTGTTCAGGATCAATAAAAGTAGTTTGTGTATTTTAGAAATTTAAATGTACCTGAAATACAGAATTCAAACTCAATAAAATTTTACTATTAGATACATTATAAAACGCTACATGCTGTGCAGGAATGTGTTTATTTGTAAGGAACCTCATGGACATTATGCAACTTTTTAATATCTATTCAGCCTGCAGGTCCTCCAACATACATTCTTAAATGATCCACTTATCTTTAGTAGGTAGGAGACTTAAAATCCTGAACCCAAGGGGAAGAAAAATTAAGTTATCAAGCCAGTGTCATTAGGTACCTCAACTTGAATTTAGTTTTAAATTGCAGAAAAAATACAGAAATTTGAGTTTGAATTACACACAATAGAAAGTTGATGCAACATTACATCAATCAAACCCATCAAAAAAATGTTTACAACTTTAAAGATTCATCTAAATCTGTATTTTTTATTTATTTTCAGTTTTAACTATTTAATTAAATGATGACAATATCTCTCTTGATTTGCTTTTTAGAGCATACAGGGGGGTTCAATATAAAACACCTAAAAGTGAAGATTCCCTTGTTGAATATCGTGTCTGTGTGTTGAGCAGCAGCTGGACTACGACAGCAGAGTGGTCCAGAGGAGGCTCTATGAAGAAGCTCTGCTGCACATCACTCTGCCTTCTCTCAGCAGGAGGATGGACACCAAGTGGAAACCTGTAGGTCAAACTGCTTCAGTCTGTCTCTCATGTCACTGACTGAACTTTTACTCTGCAAAGCCTCACGGTTGTTTTCTGTGTGCAGGAGCTGCAGCAGTTCGAGCAGTACATTTTCTCAGACTACAGCAGCTTCATCCTGGTTCATAACGTCTACGATGATATTCTGAGAAACATCCTGAGTAAAGAGATAGAGACAGGTAAACACACACAGCTTCACTGCACTGGGTTTGTCTTATTCTTCCGATGTTGAAATATTTGGTTGTCTGTCTCTAAGTGTAGCCCTGTGATAGACTGGTGACCTGTCCAGGTGTCCCCTGCCTTCACCCTGAGTCGGCTGGGATAGACTCCAGCCCCCCATGACCCTAATGAGGATTAAGCGGTGGACAGATAATGGATGGATGGATATCTTCTCTCTGATGCTATTTATAGAATGCTTGGGGAGAAAAAAGAGAATAAACAAAGAGTCACAGTTACCAATCAGATACTAATCTCCCATAATTATGCATATGTTTTAAAAACCACTCATGATTCTAGTAAAGAAATCCAGATGACCATTTAATATCATGGTTTTGGAGTAAATGAGCCATTTCCAAAGTCGAACAAATTCAATTCCTAAAGTACAGCTCTTGTACATAAGTTGACCAAAGAGCCTCTTCAGCAGACGACAACTCCAAACCTGAAAGGACCTGAGATCTATTGTTGACTCCTGGTTTACAACCGACACATCTCACATTATAATCAGCTGCAATCAGCCTGTAACTCTGAGCACATAAGATTTTAGTTTCTCTGAAAATGACATAGAAGCAGCTGATCATTGTGACAAAGATGAAGAGATGTTCAATAAATGATAACCTCAGAGTAAACATGTTATTTTACTTTTACAGTAAACTGGACCCTGAAGCCACATTGGTCCAAATATGAACTCTAACTTTGCCTCCTCTCTTCTCTCTCAGTGGTCCAGGACGCTGCCAGTAAGAAGAGCAACAACCTCCTCCTGGACACGTCAGATCTGGCCATCAGTCAGTACAGTCTGCTGGGACAGACGCCTCCTCGCTCTGCACCGGACAGTCCGGCCAATCAGGCTCGAAGCTTCTCATCCTCAGCACCACCTGACGACAGCCAAGAAACTGCTGCTGTGGTGGAAGATAAAAGTCCGACTGAACCTGATGCCGATACCAAATCTAAGCCCGGTGACAGTCAAAGCTCTGAGCAGAGCATCAAGATTGTTTCTCCTGTGATTGTCGTGACGCAACAGTTTGATGAAGAAGCTCCACAGCTCAAGGAAGCCGGTGAAGAAGA